TGAGGAATGTTGAATTTGTATCTTCTCTTCGTTTTGTTTGGTTGTTTGTCTCCGTGTTTACCTTCTTTTGTTTTTTATTTGTTTTGTTTCTTTTAATTGCGCTTTATTTATTTGTTTATCTCTCGTTTTTCTTGTCTCTTTGCTTCTCTCTCTCTCTCTGTCTGTCTCTCTCTGTCTCTCTCTGTCTCTCTCTCTCTCTCTCTCTCTCTCTCTCTCTCTCTTTCTTTCTTTCTTCAGACTTTGTTTCTGTCTTTGCTTGTTATTTGCATTCTCATCTGTCTTCTTCACGGATGTTTATTTACAGTTGCAGTTAAAGTTAGACCTATTATATAGATTAAGCATTCTATTATATATATATGTATATATGTATAGATATTATGTGCATATATAATAAATGTACATATATATTTATATATATATGCATGTATATTGTATATATATTGTATGAATATAACTTGGAGACAGAACAAAATCGAAAAATTTCGTCGTGGGAATCCTCATCCTTACTGCTGTTGCTGCTGTTGCTGCTGCTGTTGCTGTTGCTGCTGCTGTTGCTGTTGCTGTTGCTGCTGCGGGCTTAGGCGGGGTTGCGTACGCGAAGTATCCCCGGAACTGCACGACTTGTCGTGCATGTGTTGAGCGCTTTGAGGGGCGGCTTCAGCTGAATAAGATTGCAAATGAATTCATATGTTCGTGCAAACCCTAAACCCTAAACCCTAAACCCTTGTCTTTGAGACCTCCAGGCTGCCTACTTGCATCCTTTTGGGGCTTTCTTTGAGTGCATGCGCATGCGTTCTGCGGTGTACACCTCGCGAGCACAGCTTGTTTCCTGCTTAGGGTTTTAGGGTCTAGGGTTTAGGGTTTTAGGGTTTTATTTCAACGTGCGTTTATTTGCATTTAAATGTGCTTGTTGCTATCTGCAGTTTCTATTGAATCCACTTGCGCCATCCCCGCCCCCAAACTCTTCACGGTAATTCTTTTTAATTTAGCAGCAACACCTGCTGCTGCTGCTGCTGCTGCTGCATGGATGCAGCTGCAGCTGCTTTCATCCAGCTGGAAGCGCTGCTTGCATGCGGCCGCAGGCTCTGCATGCAGCCCCGTTGTGTTATTCTTTTTTTCTTTTCTGCTGTTTTCAGATGGCTGTGGAGGTTTTGAGGGAAAAGGCAATCACTTTCCGGGAGATAATTCGCACGAAGCAACTCGAGTAGACCCTGCATTTGTTTATTTAATTAAACAAATAAATAATGCAGCAACAACGACTTAAGCACGTGCATGCATGCATGCATGCATATATGCATGCATGCATATCGAGTGAAAACAGAAGGAACTTGATTGCTTCGCCGTAGATACACCGCAGCCTACCTACCTTCAGCCCTATTCACCCCTCAGCTCTCCGTAAACCCTAAACCCTAAACCCTAAGCCCGTGTCTGGCAGCTTCAATATCGCTGCGTGCGACAGCCACAGTTCTGCGTCTGACGGCGCTTTGACGGTTAATAAGAAGATTGGGGGGAAATTAAAAAAAAATAATTTTGCTCCGGAGAGGCATGCAAAAGAGAAAAGATTTAAAAAAAGAACTCATTAATGCACTGTTATTTACCTTTATTCACCTTTTCTCGTCTTTGTTTGAAATCGAGGAGGATGCGGCACTGTTATTTACCTTTATTCACCTTTTCTCGTCTTTGTTTGAAATCGAGGAGGATGCGCGAAACTTTCCTTAGCTTTTTATTCGCATTTTTCTATATTTTTTAATTCGGGCTACCAAATAGACCTTATTAACAATATTGCGAGAAAGAAACTCCAAAAATAAATAAAAATATATATGAAATGTACGCAACTGCTGAGTTGCAGCACCAGGCGGGAGCTACTAGGGAGGAAACAGTGAGATTTTCGAGTATTTTCTTCGCTTGTAGCCATAAAATACCTTTAACTGCTGTTGTTTAATTGATGTAATTATGCAAATAACTGCAGAATCCTCAAAAAGAGGGCGCCTACGACCCGCGAATACAAGTGGTGAGAAAGCTGCACATACACCCCACGGGCTGAACTTCGTGCAGCAGCAGATCCTTTTCTTTTGAATAAAATACTAAAAAAAGGTGTTTTTGAATTTAAAAAGGAGTAATTTTAACAGCAAGAAGACACCTCAACGAGAGAAAAGGTTCTTGAATTCCCTTTGTTTCGTAGAGTGCAGCAACTTAGCGGTTTAACTGGCGGGTGCGATGAGGACATAAGGAAGAAACTTTCAGGTGTACGTACACCCCATCTTCGGAGGTGCGTCTGAAGCCTCCGCAGAAGCCCTCATATCTGTCTGTCTGCAGTATGGCGATCTCCTGGGGTTCACTGACAGCCTCAAGTGCGGAGGCAGCATTAAGAGTTGCTGCACTGGGGGGGCTGGAGAGGCTACCATCTGTTTGGGGGCCCTCTGGGGGGCCCCTTCATATCTGTTGCTGAGGCCCAGACAAACGAAACGAAAGGCCTGCTGCTGATAGCAGCAGCAACCCTCCACAAACTGCGCAGCTGCTCTTGGGTGGCGGCCTGCAGCAGCACAAGCAGCAGCAGCAGCAGCGCCACCACCTCCACCTGCTGCTGCACCGCTGCTTCCTTTCCTGTATCTTGCGGGAGCAGCAAAAACAGCCTTCGAGTTGGCTTGCGGCATAAACAGCAGCAGCAGCAGCAGCAGAACAGCAGCAGCAACTCGCGCAGGTCCTGTTGCGTGCAGCAGCAGCAGGTGTCTTGTGGCTGTAGCCTCATTTAGGTGTCTGTACACCTCATTTCTCGTTTGAGGGTTAAGTGTTTATAATTCAGAGCTTCAATGGCTGCTCCTTCTCCCTGTTCGGGGTCTCCTGCTGCAGCTTTCTCGTCGGCGTCTGTTAATTGCTGTCCCCCAAGCCCGTGGGGGCCTCAGTCGTCTCCTTCTCTATCTTCTGCATCTTCATCTGATTCTGCTGCAGCAGAAGGGGCCACCAAGGGCCCCCCTGGGGGCCCCAGGGGCCCCGAGACTCCCACCGTAGCAGCAGCAGCAGCAGCAGCAGCAGCAACAGCAACACCAGGGCCCCACAAGAATGCTTTAGCATACGCTTCACGTTTATCTTCAAACCC